ATTCAGAAGTAATATTTGAATACCAGGACTTTGACTCCGAGCCATGTGCTGTTTACCATGTCATAGTAAACTGTAAATAAATTAGAGTGTTTCACACTGAATAAGAAACCGAAATAGGTGGGGCGCCTGGGTGGCTCAGTCATTAAGTGTCTGCCTTCGGTTCAGGTCTCAATCCCAGGGTCCTGGGATTGAGCCCCGCATTGGGCTTCCTGCTAAGTGGAAAGCCTGCTTCTCCCTCTCCCACCCCCCTGCTTGTTTGTGTTCCCTCTCTCGCTGTCTCTCTCTCTCTCTGTGTCAAACAAATAAATAAAATCTTTTTAAAAAATGAAATAGAATAAAAACCAAAGGGTTCCTTCTTTCTCTATTTAATCTTTTTTCCCATATATTTATTTAGGTATATTCACATATCATAAAATTTACCCATCTCAATTGTATACTTCAATGATTTTTATCAACTTGTCAAATGGCACAACCACCATCATAAATCAGTTTTAGAACAGTTTCATCATCCCCATAAGAACCTGAATGCCCATTTTCAGTTAATTTCCATTCCCACCACCTGGCCTAGGCAACCATTAATTATTTCTTTTGTCTATAAATTTGCCTTTTCAGGATACTTCATATAAGCAAAAATCTTAGAGTGTATGGTCTCTTTTGTCTGGTTTCTTTCATTTAGATAGTGTTTTTGAGGTTCTTCCATGATTTAGCATGTGTCAGTAGTTTGTCCTTTATTATTGCCTAACAGTATTCCATAATTAGATGGATACTTCACATTTTTGTCTATCCATTCATGTGCTGATTGACATTTGGTACTTTCCAAATTTCAGCTATGGCCAATAATGTTGCTATGAACATTTGTATGCAACTTTTTTGGACGACATGTAGTCACTTCTCTTAGATGCTCAGGTGGAATTGAGGGGTTATATAGTAGTTTATATTCACCTTTTGAGAATCTGCCAAAATGTATTCCAAAGCGGCTGCCACATTTTGCGTTCCTACCAGCAATGTAGGAAGGTTCCAATTCCCCCACATCCACAGACTCTTACTGTCATCTGTCTTCTTGATTATAGTCTTTCTAGTGGGTGTGATGTGGTATTCATTGTGGTTTTGATTTACATTTCCCTAATGACTAACGATGTTGAACATCTGTTCATGTGCTTATTAGCCATTTATACATATTCTTTGAAGAAGTGTCTATTCTAAACCTTTTGCCCATGTTTTGACTGTATTGTCATCTTATTACTGGGTTCTAAGAGTTCTTTGTAAATTCTGGATACAAAGTATTTATATTAATATGAATATGTATGTAAGTCTTTATATTATTATCTTTAAATTAATATTAATATATTAATATGTTTCACACATTTTTCCCCATTCTGTTACTTGTCCTTTTATTTCCTTAATGTTGCCGTTTTAACTGTAAAAATCCTGAATTTTAATGAGGTCCATTTTATCCATTTTTCTAGAAATAAATCCTTATATTTACAGTCAATTGATTTTTAAAATATTTTATCTATTTATTTGACAGAGATAGAGAGAGAGAATCTGAAGCAGACTTTGCACTGAGTACAGAGTCAGATGCAGGGCTCAATCCCACAGCTGCAAGATCATGACTGGAGCCAAAACCAAGAGTTGGACATTTAACTGACTGAGCCACCCGGGCACTCCTATAGTCAACTTATTTTGGACACATGCAACTCACTAACAAAAAGATAGTTCAAAGATGGTGCAGGAACAACTGGATATCCACATGCAAAAAAAGATGAACTTAGATGGTCATTTCATACCATACACAGAAATTAACTCAAAATGGCTCATAGGCTTTAATATAAGAGATGAAACAATAAAACTTTCAGAAGAAAACAGGAAAGAGAAATTCAAGATCTTTGGTTAGGCAAAAATTTTTAATTGATTTCTGAATTCTTGTCCTGATATAACACAATACATGTACGTACATGTGTGTTTATATGTGGCATGTGAGCATGGTGTAGGTAGGTAACTGTACAGCCACCTTCAGTCAAAATGATAAACTATTTTACTGGGATTGTTAACTAAAGTTTGAATTATCAGTGACATAAGTATGTTGAAAACAATATGCTAGGGAAAAGCGGCAAGCTAGCCAGAACAGAAAATCCAGAGCTTGGCAGGTAGAATTCAAGACAAAGCTGTGTAAATAGTAAATTAGTCCCTTCTTCAAATACTATACAATGTGCCTACCTACAGTTCAGGCTAAGAAATGTTGATTATAGGAAGTCACTGACTGCAGACTGTCTTCTCCTATAAAAGGAAGAATCTTTACCAACTTGGGAGATGCTGCATACTCCAATGTTTGCAATGATTTCATAACAGTAATATGAAATTTTTAAAGCCTGTTACTTTCAACATGTGTAGGAAGAAAGAAATTATTGTTGAAGACTCATCAACATAATTCATCAAGAGGAAAGTTTTAGATACAAAGCCTCACTTTAAAGGTACTTTTTTCACAACACATGCCTTCCTTAATATCCATCACCCATGTTGTATTGAGCACTGGGTACTACGTGCAAATAATGAATTGTAGAACGCTACATCAAAAACTAATGATGTACTATTGTTGGCTAACTCAACATAATAAAAAAATTTTTTTAATTAAAAAATTAATTTCTATTAGAAAAAGATACTTTCTTCTATTAAATTCTATGGATTGCACTTAAAATAGTCTTTTTTTAAAATAAATTAAATTTTTAATTTTTTTTAAATTTAATTTTAATTTAAAAAAATTAAATTTTAAAAATTATTTATTTATTTATATATTTGACAGAGAGAGAGCACAAGCAGGGGGAGCAGCAGTCAGAGGAAGAGGAAGCAGGCTCCCTGCTGAGCAAGGAGCCCAGTGTGGGGCTAGATCCCAGGACCCTGGGATCAGGACTTAAGCTGAAGGTAGACTCTTAGCCAGCTGAGCTACCTAGGTGTTCCTGTGTTGTTGTTGTTGTTTTTAAGACTTCATTTATTTTTGAGAAAGAAAGAGAGAGAGAGTGGGTGCAAGAACAGGGAGGAGGGGCAGAGGTAGAAGCAGACTCCCTGTGGAACAGGGAGCCCGATGTGGGACTTGATCCCAGGACACTGGGATCAAGACCTGAGCCGAAGGCAGACACTTAAAAGCCACCCAGGCACTTGCACTTAAAAATTGTTAATAGCTTATTTCATAGTGAAATAATCACTTTCACCTCTACAAGGGATACACAAGAATATGGGCATTAATCTTGGCCACCTGTGTTCACTGTGAGTTAGTCAGTGCTCTATCTGTGTCTTTTCATGACAATTGATGGAGTCTTTGTGAAAGCCTGAATCTTGATTTCCTCTATTTCAGAGCAATATTTGTTCTCAAAATGTATTTTCTAATATAATTAAAACTGCATTACTGCTTATTAACATTTTAATATATTTTCATTATTTTCAGGTACAGCTGGTTATTTATATATCTAACTGTCCCTTTTAGGAAAAGTAACATGTTTTATTGTGCTTTTATCCCCCATGTGAGTGGTTTTTAAATCACTGGAGACATTGGTTGAGTGTTGGAACCCTACCTTCCAGCATCTGACAAGGGTTTTAGAACACAGTAAATGCTTCATATGTTTTTGTTGTAATAAAGTAAATATTCACTTTTTAAATACTATAGTTTTAAAATCACACTTCCCTAGGCCCGAGGTCCAATGGAAGAAAATATACAAGGAAATCAACCAAATTACCACAATAAAATTCTAGGAGAGACATACAGGTTTATCATTATTATAATGAAATGCAATTGTAATGAAAGCTAATTAATGTTTCAATGCCAAGAGCCAAGTGCCAACATTTTCTTTCTTGAATACCTAGTAACATGATGTTCTCTCATTCTAAAGAGATACGCTCTCTCCTCTTAGAGCCTCTATCTAAATCTCTCAGACAATTTAAAAATCAGATTTTTACAATCCTGGATGAAGTAGACTTAGCTGAGTGCAGCCACAGAGCAAGAAGAGCCCCAGATAAAGTTAGGCTTTCTATCATAGCTACCATTGCTAACATCTTCTAATAACTATGTAGTTCTTAAAAGCAAGCAGAAACAATTTGCCAGCTCATTAGAATTCCACATGAATCTGAAAGAGGAATGCTAAGTAGTGAAATGGATGAAGACAGCCTTTTTCAACTTGTTGAGAGGACACTGGCAAACACATACACTGTGAAGAGTACATATCAGATGAGTAAAATGGGTACTTTACCAAAAACAAGTGAACTGAAAGACAATTCACAAATTCTTTTAAAATACTTTCTTCTTGCCTAAGATATAACCTAGACTGGTTCTAAATAATTTTCTCAAATACTATCTGCAGTGATCTTTTCAGTTACAGCCCTCCAGCCCTTCAGCCACCTGGAAACATGCAGTCCCACCTGGAGATTTATCCTGCCCTCAGGGCCTGGGCCAGTGCTGTCCTCTACACTGGAGGAATTTTCAGAAGCCTTAGACTAGAAACTTACCTGCTCAGTGTCAGAGTGGCGGTTCTGCTGATGCTGCTCTGATACCGTAACCCCGCTTCAGGCACTAAAATTTTATCTGGTTACTTGTAACCAAGCCTCTATCTTGAACCACTAAAAACTTGATCCTGGATTCTTCCGTTGCAATCCTTAGTCCTGCCTTGGGACCTTACTTAGTATCCTAGTGGGTGCCATACACCCTGGAATGTTCTGTGGGCTTAGTTTGGAGCCCCACCCTGGAACTCGCATCTTCCTAAGTTATGTCCCCAATATATGCCACCTGATAGCTATGACACAGACTTTCCTCATGTCTGGATTTCTACCTATTGCCCACTGTCCAGCTCTTCTAGAGAAAGGTCCGATGTTTGACCTAATTTCTTACTCTAATAGTAACTCGGGTAATACCTCCATTTAAAAATATTTCTATTCAAACCAGTCCACAGTAAGTTTTAAATGCATCACTGAATATACATCTGCTGCTCGAAATTCCAAAAGAAAACATCCCATACCTGTCTGAATGAATCCTGATTTGTATCCATTGGTTGTGCCATTTTCCGGAGTCACAGTTGACGATACTGAAGAGTTTGGTTTCATAGAGTGGCAAGTAGCAGAGGATTGTCGGCTTCTACATTCTGGGAAGGAGTAAGAATCACATTATGGGGGGAGACCAGCCCTCTGTTAAAACAGGTGATGGAAAGGCAATCTATATAATCTATAAAATAAACTGCGGCTCCTTAAGGGGCAACCACATGCCTTATCAGAGATGCCCCCTCCTCAAATTCTGATTCCAATAGAATGTTCAAGATGGTGAATTCAGTTTGTCTTCCTAAGGCCACATGTCATGTTTAGAAGGACGAAGAAAAAAAGATGAGACTTTTGTTCTTCACAGATTAGTTACCAGGAGAAAAATTACTCATAACCAATATAATCATGCTTGTTTTATGGATAAGACTGAGGCTAAAATATTGGATGGCTATATGTGTGCGTGTGTGTGTGTGTGTGTGTGTGTGTGTGTGTAAATAAAATCTCCAATAAGCTTTCAAGTGTCAGTTAACCTCCTATCAGGATGGATTTAAGTGTGGAACAGGAACCTAGAATTCATGGAGGCTGCTTTCAACATTCTCACCTCGACTTTATGTCCAAAAGCTGAACCAAAGAAAAATTTATAGGTAGAAGAAAAAAATTTTAAATGCTCAAATTCTTAACATTCTTAGTTTTTATTAAAGGAAATAGATATATAATACTCAAGGTGATCTCTGATCATGCAATACCAAGCTTCACTTTAGGTAAGCCAGTATTAATGGAGCTCTCCTGTAATACTTTAATAATATTTTGAACTGAGCTAGATAACAAATACTATGATAACCCATGGGGCTGTAGCTTCCAACTAAATTATACTACATGTTATAATGTATTAGACTTCAAAGGTAGCATGTGAAAAAGAAATATAAATGGTTTCAAATGACAGTTTGCTTATAGAGGGTACTTTAGAGACTTTCCAAGTTTATCAGATATGTGCAAGGGCTGGAAGCAGTTTCCCATAAACTTCAGTGCTCAGATCTTCCTTGAAGAGCTACTGTACTTTGGCCTGAAAGGATATCGTTATGTGTAATATATGCATATATTTATATTGATAATATATGTCTGCATATCTGTATATATACATGCATACACAATTCTAATTCTAACCAACTGCTATAAATACAAGGCCTCAGATGCCTGGCCAGCTCGGTTCGTAGAGCGTGTGACTCTTGATCTCAGGGTTGTGTGTACAAGCCTCACATTGGGTGCAGAGATTACTTAAAAATAAAATCTTTTAAGGGTACCAAGGTGGCTCAGTTGGTTAAGTGTCCAACTCTTCATTTCAGTTCAGGTCATGACCTCAGGATTGTGGGGTGGGATTAAGCCCCAAATTGGCTCTGTGCTTAGCAGGGAGTCAGCATCTCTCCCTCTGCTCCTCTGCCTTCCCCCTACCCCTATCCTGCTCACACATTAAATAAATAAATAAATCTTTTTAAAAAACTATAAAGAATAAATAAAATATTTAAATTTTTTTTTAAATGTAAGACTTCAAAAGGATTATTGTACCTGTCTTGGAACATGCAGCCATTTCCTAAGGAATTATTTAGTGTCATTTCAAATGCAACCAAGAGTAATTACAGTGGAAGACTTAGAGGAAAATCTGCAGTTATAATTTGGATTCATTATGGTATTTCTCATGGTCAGGTCAAAATTTTACACAGACAACAAATGGAAACATTAAAGACAATTATTATATCACCTTTAATAATAGTAATAATTTAAAATCTCAATACCTAAGTAACTGCTCAAAAACAAAGATTAGATATTCCATTGCATTAGAATAATAAAATTCGTGGCAAATCCTATCAATCACATGAAGATGTGAGACTTCAACTGGATTCAGTTCTATAAATAAGTTAGTTAAGTTCTTCTTAACTTAAAAAAATAAATAAATAAATAAAAATAAAATTCCACCCACTTAATAGTGCATTTCCCCAGGTATTGTGAAGAAAGCATTATTTGTTCTAAAGTATACATAGTTCTTTTTTTTAAGTTTTTCACAGACAGAGATCACAAGTAGGCAGAGAGGCAGGCAGAGAGAGAGGGGGAAGCAGGCTCCCTGCTGAGCAGAGAGCCCGATTCGGGTCGGGGCTCTATCCCAAGACCCTGCGATCATGACCTTAGCCAAAGGCAGAGGCTTTAACCCACTGAGCCACCCAGGTGCCCCTAAAGTATATGTAGTTCTAATGAAAACAGAAAACTATATACTCATGAGAATTACCAAAGATCTTAAATAAAGTAGAAAGAGCATCTAACCAGGAAAATGACGATTTGAGATCTTCTCTAAATGCCAGAAGAGCTGGAAAGAGTCTGTCTGCCCTCTACCCTCCCAAGAGACCAAGAGACGTGCACTTTTTAAAACCCAGGTAGTCTCTATTAAAAATAGGAGAGGCTTCTGGGTGGCTCAGTGGGTTAAATCCTCTGCCTTTGGCTCAGGTCATGATCCCACGGTCCTGGGATCAAGCCCCACACTGGGCTCTCTGCTCAGCAGGGAGCCTGCTTCCCCACCCCCTCCCCCCCACCCCGCCCCAACTACCTCTTTGCCTACTTGTGATCTCTGTCAAATAAATAAATAAATCTTTTTAAAAAAATAGGAAGAAGCTAGTCAAATAACCTGTCAGAAAGCTTTACATCTTTGGATAGCCTTCTGAACTTGGGATATTTATCTACCTATCTATCTACCTGAACCGTGTACTGGCCACTTGTTATTACTGTAACATCTCATTTCCTTCCCTTCCCTTCCCTTCTTCTCCCAGAGGTTGGTGCTACCTTTCCAGCAGATAAGAGGTCCCTTCGACAGTACACCCTGGGAGCTTCTGACTAGGTAGTACTTTAAGTGCTTCTGCTTCTTTGGCTGGGTGGTAAGCTTCAAGTTAATATGGTTGGAAAATTCCGTGAAATACCGAAATCCTCTCTCTCCACAGCCGATACAGTTTCCAGAAAACCCTGAAAGAAGGAAAATCAAAGTTACTGCTGGACTTGTAAGCTGATACAGTATTTTTACATACAAAAAGTATAGAAATATTCAGTCTTTTTGACCCAATCACTTCTTAATTTCAAGGGGAAAAAACCCAAGTTTTTTTTTTAGCAAAGTTATTTATAAAGACTGACAGTAATTTAATTTCTGCCTTAAAAGGATAATGATTAAGGAAACAGAATGGATAGTATCAAGTGATAGAATTTGTATGGTTGACATAAAAATATGAAAAAGTTTGGTCCTAGAGATGTCCATTATTCCTTTTCCATACACATCCCTCTTAGAGAATCTGCTGGCCCTGGTTCTCTACCCTGTGTACCATGTGGAATTGCCTTCAATGCCATAGCTGATTAGACTGTGCTAATATCTGACCCAGTCTGGGACAGTCAGAATCTCCTGGAATTTTAAAATAAATACAGAAAGAATCAGTGAGATGGTACTATACCCTGGATTTATAAGGTCTTATAAAATTAGAACCCAGCTTAGGGGTATGTCCAGCACTGTGTCAGCTAAGGGATGGGAGAGCACAAACTGAGAACCATGAAGAGGAAGCTGGTCTGCAGATAGGAAAGTGTGGACAGTGATGGGCAAACCAAGGCACTGTCAACTTTCCAGTTTCTATGAGATTGAGCTGTACTTTCTCACATGAATTCCCTGAGTCCCAGTTTCTCTTTCTTCACTTTCCTGTACTCAAATCAGCTTATTATTACTTTAGATCTACTATCCAAACAATTCTCACTCAGATTACTCAAACAAAATAAAACATTCAGTGACCTGCTTAGAGCAGGGGGCACAGAAAGAAGAAATGGAGAAGACTAAGAGGATGAGAGGCCATCCTTCGCTAAATTGGAAATCAACCCCCTAACACACAGAGCAAAGTTGCATAGAAAGAGTGCGAGTTCCTTTGGTTCTGATTGATGAGGACACAACATATGTACTGCCATGTAGTGAACAAGGACAAGAAAGGTGTAAATGGGAAAGGGCATTCCAAACTCCAAACATACAGTATTCTTCTATATACATAACTAACTTAAAATAAATTTACTGGAGTGCCTGGTGGCTAAGTTGGTTAAGCATCTGCCTTCAGCTCCAGTCACAAACCCAGCATCCTGGGATCAAGTCCCACATCAGGCTCCCCACTCAGCAGCTCTCTGTCTGTTCCTCCCCCTGCTCGTGCTCTCTCTCTCTCTCTCTCAGATAAATAAATAATCTTTAAAAAATAAAATAAAATAAAATAAATTTACTGGTGAAGTGATACACTCTTTTTAAATCCCAAAACAACCAGTCACATAATTAATAAAGATACAGAAGGAGAGAAGAGAAAGGTCACCAGGATTAAAGATCGAGTATTTCACAATGTACTAACTCAGAATGCTGACAATCAAGTCTGAACATTTAGAAATGGCAGTCCAATTTATTATTATTTATTCAGCAATATTTATTGAGCATCTTGTGCAAAACTGGACAGAGATTGTTGTAATTTCTGATCACTTACATAAAATTAGTAATTCTATGTAATTAGTTTATTAGGTGACTTTATAGAGTTATAAACATTAATGTAACTTCATAAATTATTTAAAATATATTCAGAGATGGTTTGCATTTGAGAGCATTAGGCTATCTAATATCTTAGAGCTGGAGATTAAAAAAAAAATTGTCAATGGCTGCCTATTTCACCAAGTCCCCAAACCATCTAATATCCATCTCTTCAGGCATGCATGCAGCTATCCAACAAATACTTGTACTCTACCATGTGCTAGGCACTGTCTCAGGTACCAGGTTTTCAGCATGGAACAAAGCAGACAAAACCACTGCCTACACATAACTTACATTGTCATATGATTGTCAGGCCTTGATGGAAAATTGCCTGGTTTGCAAGGCGCATGAAGCACCCAAACACAGTAAAATGATCTAAGAACACTTTAGCAAAAATACTTAAAGACAGTGCCCCCTGAAAGATCCAAGCAGATCTACTGGATAGATCAAAATAGTTCATAAATGATGTAGTGTGAGAATTAGAATTAACAAATTACCGAGGTGAGGTTTTCTTTTTTCTCTTTTCTTTTGCCTGTTCTCTGAGGTGAAAAGCAAGAGAGCGTGAGAGGAAGAAAAGCAAAGCAACTGGACAATCTTCAGTTACCGAAGTGGCACATTAATGATGAGAATTAATAATATTAAAGAGATAGAATGCTACAGCTCATTTTTAAAACTCTCTATGGTTTCAGTATTAACCTTAGTTCAAGAGAGATTTTATCTGCTCAAATTTCTTGTTGTCATTGTCAGAAAAAATTGTGCTTCTTACAGCCAAATTACATTTCTAGTCTTCCAAGTGCATGGTAGATTTGGGACACATGAATGAACTGCCAATATATTTTGAAGATTTTATTTCTTTTATTTGAGAGAGAGAGGGAGAGCCCAGAAGGAGAGCAAGAGGGCAAAGTAGACTCCCTGCTGAGCAGAGAGCCTGATGTGGAACTCGATCCCAAAACCATGAGATCGTGACCTGAGCCAAAGGCAGATGCTTAACTGAGTGAGCCACCCAGGCGCCCCTGGATCAATATATATTTAATCGATTCCCCCATGGTCTTTTGAATCTGTACAATTTATATAAAAAGTCAAACAAATTGATATTGGAATCCACCAGGATGCAAGTATATTTGAAGCTTAACATTTTTTCCCACTATATCTTAATGCATACTGAAATAATTTATCATCAGTAAGAATGTTGGATGGATATTAACTTTTAGGCAACAGAGACTGAACATATAAAAATCTCAACAATGTACTTATCTAAGAGAAAACTTCAACCCTTGTGTTGCACTATACTTTCAATTTGGAAAGTAGTTAGTAAAAAATTATGTCCATTCACAAGGCTAGAGAAAGTAAGCAGAATTCCATTTCTATAAGGGTATGAGTAAATATGACACAGTTGCAGAATAACTACCATATAAAGAACAAGTGTTCCGTTCTCAGCACTATGGTGGATGTGTGCCTTATAAACATCACTATTTAATCTTTATAACCCTGCAAGGTAGGCATCATTGGCCTCGTTCTATAGATGAAGAGTCTGAGACCTCAAGAGGATAAGAAGCCTGCCCCAGTTCTGAAAGTACTAAGTGGTAAACCCAGCATTTTACCCTTGGTTCCAACTCCCAATACTCATGGTCTTTGATCTCATATACCTGCTTATCTATAAATATGAAACCTATTATTCTGATAATGTTTGTTGTGTTCTTTCTATGACACATTCTAGGAGGATTCCTCTGGTCATGAAGAATCACTAAGCAAGAAGGCATCATGAGTGATTTTTCTATTTGTGGTCAGACCCACATGTTAAATATTCCATTTGATGACACTGTGATGCTTGTATATTTTTTAAGTCTTTTTATTTTTAGTAATCTCTACACCCAACATGGGACTCAAACACACAAGCCTGAGATCAAGAGTTGCATGCTCTTCTAAATGAGCCAGCAAGGCTCCCTGACGCTATGATGCTTTTAAAATGCTAAAAGGAAGTTTCCCAAAATTGTTATAACACAACCCAACTGGGTTACTAGTTCTGTGTCTTAACATTTTTGTGTCCCCACATCACAGCTTAGCATGATTTTGTCACACAGTACATTTGGAACACATAGTGTTGGATAAATGTGTGAACAACTGAAGACTTGGGAACTTCTTTGCTAATGTATAAACAACCATTAGACTTCTATGTTAAACCATCTGGTCGAAACCACTAAAAGAAAAGAAAATTAACATGTTTTTATGAAAGCCTTATGGAAAGTATCACTTCTTTTCCTATGCACCAAGAGAAGACTTTCAAATATAATGTAAGGAACCTTTATAAAGCATGGGCAAGGTTACTTTCTGATTCAAGATACTGATGTACGTATTTCTAAACTTCCGATAATACTGTATAACTAGGAAAAATGCATCAAACTAAACAAGCACAGCTTAGAACTGACACAATTCTTGGGGCACCTGGGTGGCTCAGTGGGTTAAAGCCTCTGCTTTCGGCTCAGGTCGTTATCTCATGGTCCTGGGATCGATCAAGCCCCATGTCGGGCTCTCTGCTCAGTGGGGAGCCCGCTTCCTCCTCTCCCTCTCTCTGCCTGCCTCTCTGCCTACTTGTGATCTGTCAGTCAAATAAGTAAATAAAAATCTTTAAAAAAAAAAAAAAGAACTGACACAATTCTTGAATTCTTTGTCCTCTTCTCTCTTTTTCATTTTTATTGTTATTTGCACCAAAAGCATATGATTGCATCTATACTTAGAGAAATTCTGAGAAACAAAAGAAACTCCAGAGAAACACAGCTGCAAAGAAAACAACAAACCTCATATGACATTTTATCTTCTTAATCATTAATATTAATTTAAAAATAAATCCACTATTCATTTCCCATGAAGCTAGATTATGAAAAAAGCGCAGACTCAAAGTAATACCAGAGAATGAAACAATTCTGAGATAGAGTTACACATTTTATATCACCTATACTTAGTTACTTTGGTTGAACTCATGCTAAATATCAAGTGAGAATCACATCAATCAAGTGTAGTTAGGAATAATGGGTGGTGTGGAGAAACTAGCAATAAGATACAAAGTGGATAATCTGCAGCTGAATAACTGAGAGTTGATTTGACATCAGGTCCAAATCAATGACTCTATAAAGAATTAATCCTACTTTGCTTAACAAAGTATTAACTTTTTAAAAATATTTATATTTATTTATTTGAGAGAGAGCATGAAAGAGAGACAGCACAAACAGGGGGAGGGGCAGAGGCAAAGGGAGAAAGAGACTCGCCGCTGAGCAGGGAGCCCGACATGGGACTCCATCCCAGGACCTTGGGATCATGACCTGAACCAAAGGCAGACACTTAACAGACTGAATCACCCAGATGTCCCCAAAGTATTAATTTTTGATAAACCTAATGCCATCCTTTAAACCTGGTTTAGAAAAGTCTCTTCAAGGTGGGTGTTTTGAGAATGAATAAAAAATAAATGGTAATTTTTGAGAAGTTACTAAAAGAAAAAGATGTTTCATACCTGAGTTAAACTATAGAATTCCCAACTAATTCTGTGACTTTTTAAAGAGAAAATTCTGTGATAATTTAAAAATAAATTTGTAGTTGGACTCCTTCACCTTAGAAGGAATTTGATAAGTGTGGAATACTCACCTAAAAGTGCATTTTTCCCGTGATCATCTGGTAGAAATCGTTTGTCTACAGCACACACTAGGATGTGCTCGGGAAGATTGGGAGACTTGGCCCCCACCAGGAGGAATCCTGCTGGGATGTCGATTTGTTCCATACACAGAGATACCAAACGCAAATCCTTTCCCGCTTGACAAAAACCTAAAACCCAGTAAAAAAAGGACACAGTGAAATGTTTGGAAGGTTTCTATCTTCTTATCACCCATTTGGAGAGTGAATTTACCCATAGGAATCACTATTAAGGACTAAATTTAAAGTCCATATTCTCCAACCAGAAGACAAATCATATGTGCCCCTCTGAGTGGAGCTGAAAAGACACAAATGGTTGTATTTCTGACAGGGTTAGCCAACATTGATGACTTTGTATTTTCTGATCCACAAGTAAGCAAATGAAAAATATACATAGGAAACTTTGAAAAATGTATGTAATTTTTATGTGCACATAATACAGTATTTTTATGCTTTCAGTGCAAGTTCACTTCTGTAAATGGTGACTTCTGTCATAGAAAAGGGAGGCTTTCCATTTCACCCAGGAAGAGACTGTACCTCTGAGTTTGGTGGCCCATAAATGAATGGCCAGAACTAGAATCCAGAATTGTGAGGACAATCTTCATGAGATACAACACAACATGAGGACAATCTTCATGAGATACAACATGAGGACAATCTTCATGAGATACAACATGACAACACATGATAAAACCTTACCTAACACTTTGTGTACCATAACATATCACACTAATTCATTAGCTCACAATTTCTTAAAAATCATTTGCAACAGATGCTGCCCTAGGCTGGGGGATAGAGTTGAACAAACATACCTTCCTCTAAGAGCTTGCATTACAGTTAGTTGAAAGAGTATATAAGGAACCAATAGACACAAAACAATATTACAGAGGACAGCTATTTTCTGCTGCAAAGCACCCATTTCACATCTTCCGGGAGATTATCAGACCTCCCTGAACTCTAATTATATGATTCCTCTTGGAGAATTGTGATATTCTAGATTGACTGGAGCTGGCACCTGATCCAAGCTAGTCACTATAATATCCCACCTTTTTGGTTGATAAGTTGATAGTTGATATTTGATAAGTCAGGGGCACCTGACATAAACTAGGGCATTCAAAGCCTTTTCTCTAGGAATTCTGAACATGGAGCCAGAGTGTGGCTTAGTTTGGTCTGTGGCTCAGTTCCTTGCCTTTTGAGAGAAGTCTGTCAGCACGGTCAGCAGATAGTAGGTTGAGGCAGAATGTTCTGGCAGTGTGTGGGCCTCTGAAGCCCAGTGTATGTGCCTTTCCTGTGGTTTGACTGTGAAACATTTTGCTTAAGAATTCATCAACTATCTTCATTCCACCTAAGGCTAATCTCAGCTGGCCTGGGTTTCACTTGCAACCAAAGAGGGTGAACAAAAGTATGATAAATACTATTTCAGAAAGTTGTGGAAGATAAAGGATGGACATCTAACTCTCCACACACAAACCTGAGGAGATCATCATCAATGTCCAGAACAAAGTAGGGAATAAATCATGCTAAATTCTTCCAGTATCAATTCATATTATGATGTTAACCCAACGCCAACAAACAATTGGATGTCATCAGTTAGTACATGAGAAATAGTAAGAAAACAACATCCAAACATATGGTTTGGCTCATCAAATCTCAAAAGCAGACATAATGGAATTGGAAGAAGTCAACAGAAGAAGGGCTAAAATGATAAAACAATGAGGTTCAACCATTTCAATCTTACTTTTTAACACTAAAAACTTTCAAATTTAACTTTAGTGTTTGTGAATTGAGGAAAAACAATAGCAGAATGTTATTGTGAATTCGTTAACAATTCTGAATGAATCTATATTTTATTATTCACAATATCTATGTATTTGCAAAATATTCATTTGTACGTGTAAGTCATATTATTTATTTAGTTTACAAACTTTTTTTTTGAAACTATGGATATATAAAACCCCTAAAAAAAAAAAATTCTGCTGCCCTCACCCATTGCAGGGACAGGACTCACAGGTTTAAAAGTGGGAAAATGATGATATCGATGGCAGAAAAATATACGGAGCATTTAATGTAAGTCAGGTATAGTGCTAACCACTGTATAGATTATCTCATTTAATCCTCCCAACAACTACTAATTCCTTTCCAAGATGGAGAAATTGAGGCTCAGAAAGATTAGGGAACTTGTCTTAGGTTACATAAGGGGTTCGGTAATGTCAGGAATGTCAGACGTGGAAGTTTACTATATAAAAACAGACCAAAAATATACTACGCAACTTGGCAAAAGAAAAGCTAAGAACAATTATAACCCAGATCTAAAATCATGCGAGGTGAACATAGACATATAACCAAATTCTAAAATGTTAAATCTAGGAGGCATTTTATTTTTTCTCTCAAAGATTTTATTTATTTGTTTGTCAGAGAGAGAGAGAGATAGGCAGAGGGAGAAGCAGGCTCTCCAATGAGCAAGGAGCACAGAACAGAATTCGATCCCAGCACCATGGGATCATGACCTGAGCTGAAGGCAGATGCCTAACCGACTGAGCCACCCCGGCGTCCATCTAGGAGGCATTTTAAAGCCCTAAAAGAAGCACTAATTTCTTTAACCAAAGAAATTATTAATTTGTGTAGACAGTAAACCTAGAAACACATTTCCCATAAGAAATAGCACCTGGGTGCTATTTTGGGGCGCCTGGGTGGCTCAGTGGGTTAAAGCCTCTGCCTTTGGCTCAGGTCATGATCCCAGGGTCCTGGGATCAGGCCCCACATCGGGCTCTCTGCTCGGTGGGGAGCTGCTTCCCCCTCCCTCTCTCTGCCTGCCTCTCTGCCTACTGTGACCTCTGTCTGTCAAATAAATAAATAAATAAATAAATAAATAAATCTTTATTAAAAAAAGAAAGAAAGAAAGAAAAAGAAATAGCGCCTTCATCATGACTTGTTCCAAAAGGCAGATCATGTATCTTCCCAAAATGTATAGATAAACTCAGTGATGAGAGGTTCATGATCACCCAAAGGATGGAAAACAGGATGCCTGGGGAACTGTCTGTCACTAAGCAGTAACAATACGACCTTTCTACAACTTTGACTCACACCACATTAGAAAGAATGGACTAGATGAAACGATGAATCTGTACCAACTTATATAAATTTGCAAATTAAATTATGAGCTTTTTAGAACATCAGAGCTATAGAGAACCTCAAGACCAGCATCTCCCAACAGGTAGTTATCAAACTCCCAGGAATTTATAAAGGTATTCCATGATACTTGGAATTATAAGTCAAACTCAAATAGATACCATTATCAATTTCTAAAAACTAATAAATAATCATTCTTATATCCTACTTTTAAAACAATGTTCCGAGGGCCTTCCTTACTACACGTGTGGGGATAGTGGACACTCGCCGAATGAACTCAGGACTTACTTGTTTTAACCCCATATCGGTGTGTGACTTTCATTTTCATACAATTGTTTTTATCACCAGTCATATGTATTAATATGGTGCTTAATTTATACTCATAATACACTGTTGGTTAATGATGGGAAACTCAGGGAGCACTGATTGTGTAAATGAGAACAGTCATTTTAGAAATGTGTCTAAAGATGCTCTTGCTAGAAATGAAAATTAGATTCAATCCCAACGCCACTCATTAAATTATAAAATTATATGAAATGCACCAATATGTTTCTAGGACACCCAAAAAAAATGTCAAGGTAAAATTTAGTGATCATAATCCAATTTGGCTATTCATTTAAGAGGGAAAAGCCAACCTCATTCTGCAGCCTTTTTAGTAGCAGAAATTCTGCAAGCAGCAGCCAGAAACCTTTTCATCATATAGAGTAAAAATTATAAAAATATACTAATATACCCTTTTAATCCCAAAATATAAAAATTCTAAAATACAGGTATTAAAAGTAGATTTTTGGCTTTTTTTTCTTTTTTGATGCTGGAAAACACTTAAATACACTTAGCTCCCTGAAAACTTATATTCTATTTTTGAATTTGTCAATGAAATATATTTTTTCTTATAAAACCAATTTTGAATAAATTAAGTAACAATTACTGAATAATTAAATGTAGATAATTTTTCTCATATGCATGAATAAGATCAAAGAGTATATTAACATATTGGTCTAAAATAAATACTTTATACTTAAAATCAGTTCTTTATCATGTCCCATGTGGTGACAGAATTGAGTTTTAAATTCCTAAGGAGTTCAAAAAACTACATATTACTATAAAAAGAAATTTGTGAGTCAAGACTGGGTAACAATAATCTATTTAGTATGTAAATAAGGCATGAGGGCCCATAAAGGTTAAGAAGATGGTCCAAGTTCAAATATTCTGTAACTGGAAAAGATGGAACTAAAACCCATCCTGACTCGAAATTGATGCCCCTTCATCATCGACGTTAACATCTCTCTGACTCATAATGTTTCACCTTCCCTTGGTCTAATGTAGGACACTCCTATTGTTTCTTCACTGCCTTTTTCCTCCCCACCCCACAGCGCCCTCCTCCCCAAGTCCTACTACCCAGCTTTGCAGGCTGAATCCAAGCGGCACTTTCCACACCAGCCCCTGCCTGATAGCCATGATCTATTGGCACCCATCTACCTCATACTTGCTGATGAATCCTTAAAACTCACAGTTTTTCTGATGAGATTTCTAAAAGCAATACATTGCAGCAAAGGGAGATCGAGGGGTAAAATACAATTTTGGTTCTGGGCTTAACAGATACAGAGTCAAGAGGACAGAGTGTGGAGAACACCTGAAGAAAGCAGGATTTTCTACAGAAGAAAGAGGACTTCAGAGTGATTTCTGTGGCAAAAAGAAACACACAGTCAGCTCAAATTACGAAGTACAAATAGTTTTCAGTGATACAGCCTTTCAGGGTTTTCCCACTTATGATATGAGGACACCTAGAGGTGGGAAGTAAAAATTATTAAACAATGACTGGATTCTAGAAGCGTCTTTTCTACTAATTTCTTCCTTAAAAAAAATTTAAGAGGTGCTTATGACAATGAAAAGAGAAAATACCCTATTTTATGCTTTTAAAAAAAGGCACAATAATGAGAGTATGTAAAAGGGGCACAAGAAGCAACTGAAGGTGCTTCCGAGGTCCAAAACTGGAACAATCTGAGAAATACAGTAAAGTAGTATTGGATTATAACTCAACATAAAACAAATATCCATGAGTGCATAATGATATAAAGGACTGAATACATTGATAAGTGGGCTGGAAGAAAGAGACTAATTAGCATGCAGAATTTTGAATAATTTATGCCGATACTCTATCCTCAAGAAGATGGAGCAAATTCCCCATTCCTTAACTGTAAGCTGAGCATCGTGACTTTCTCCCACAGTATGGAAAGTGGGGGAAAGAATGGAGATAATACTACCCCCACCAGGTGATCTAGGCCAACATCAATAGCCATAAATCATGTTGACAAAATGTACCCTTGACATAATGTGATGAAAATGGCACTTTATCTTTGCGAGCTTCTTTCCCCAAACCCATAACCTCAGCCTAATCAGGAGAAAAACCTCAGACAAACTCTAGGAGAGGGTCACCTACAATATACCTTACTAATAATTCCTAAAACTGTCAGGGTCATCAGAAACAAGGAAAGTCTGAGAAACTGTCACAGCCCAGAGGAGCCTAAGGAGACATGTTGACTAATTTAGTATCCTGGTGAGATTCTGGAACAGAAAGACATTGGTAAAAACTAAAGAACCCAAATAAACTATGAACTTTAATTATTATTAAAATCAATACTAGGGGCGCCTGGGTGACTCCTTTAGGCATCTGCCTTGGGCTCAGGTCATGACCTCAGGGTCCTGTGTTTGAATCCCGCCTCAGGCTCCCTGCTCCGTGGGGAGTCTGCTTCTTCCTCATCCTCTGCCTCTCCATGCCACCCCTCCCCACCCCAACTGGAGCTTTCTCTCTCACTCAACTAAATAAATAAAATCTTTTCTAAAAATTAGTAATAAAGTAAGATGTCAACAATAGGAGAAACTGCAGGGATATACCCTATCCTATTTTCTCAACTTTTCTTTAAATCTAAAACTGTTCTTAAAAAATAAAGTCTATTTTTACAACGTCCTAGTTTATCTTTTTGCCTTCATGTTACTCACCAACAGAAGCCACTCGGCCAATTCAGTTAAGAGTAAAGAGAATAGGAGAGAAAGAGAAGGCAAGACTGAATCCAGTAACAGGTCAGCAAGAAATCAATCCAAGGCCAGAAACAGTTGCAAAATCAAGAAAAAGTTTCTAAGTCTAGTTTGTAATTATTCTGAGAATACCCTCACCGGGCAAGGGTCTGAGCTTTTCTGTGATGTTTTATAACTGTGATGTCTTCCTCTAACCCTCATTCTTGGGATTCAAATCAGCTAATCATATACAAAATATATTATCAAGGATACCCAATTAAGAAAAAGCATTATGCAAAGAGCAATATGCAGGGTTTTTTTTTTTCTTTTAAGATTGAAAATAAGCTCTGTGTGTCTGTAAAGAAGAGTGGGTAGCTTAAGAATCTAGGAAATGTGATTATATTTTAAGGTGTGTAGGCTCCAAATATTTTGTGTAGTAGGTAGTTCTAGTCTCTAGAAATATATCAGATTATTAATATAATAAAGATCAATTATTCAATGTGCACTAAAGCTGCAAACAAAATGAAAAGACACCTTATTACTCCCCTGTAGGGTAATTTTGAATCACACCTGGACTAATCCTGAAAGAAAAGCCAGAGTCTTTCTTTTAGAGGCTTCTGGAAGACCTGGGGAAGAGTGTCCTAAGGAAGGATCTAAGCCTGTTTACTATATGCAGGGAAGGAGAGATAAGTTACCGACGTTCCGCACACAAATAACATTTGACAAACTTGCTCCTAAGTAGCTTCATTTTTTAAAAGCAATACTGAAATGCTGCCTTAACCCCAAGGCCTTTGAAGCAAATTATTTTAATTAAGAAAAGGAATAATGGTAGAGGGTCCTTCTTTGTAAACTTCATCTGCATTTTCTTAAGAAAATTGCCAAGGTTTTCTCTTCACAGAACCAGATTTGCATTCTCCAATTATCTCCAACTTGAAGGTTACGGAGTAATCTAAGCTGGGGGGAGGGGAACGTTTACTGAAACAGCTGTCAACACAAACTAAAGTAATCGAAGCGGTATTTGGAGGCTTCAAATTTGGTTGCCCTTCACCTCTTTAGATAATCAACTGCCTCCCAGCAGGGTGGGAACCTACACTATTCCAATAATTTACATAAGAAATTAGCAACCAAAATTTACATCAGAATGGTAACCCCTAGAAGCCCATCAGGTATTAGGTATCTGCTTATCTAAATTGCCTCTAAAAATAGCTTTCCCTTCCTTTAAGTCGTAGGTAAATAGAGGATTTCCCAGGAAGGGAAGGTGGTATGCTAAGAGAAGTCCATGCATTATATTGTGCTAATTCACTGTCATTTCTATAAGAAAAAATTCAGGACTCTTTTGTCTTAGAGGGAGAGGGCTCTTGGAACTACCCTAGACTGAGCCAAATTAAAAGAGCTATGGAGAAACTTTAAACTATCAAATTATAAACCACACTTTTTGTTTTTAATGGCCACCTTCCAGTGAATTGAAAGGGGAAAAATACGGACATGTAATTAATTATAAGAAACCAAAGCAGCTGATGTATAGGAATCTACGTGTAGGACTAGGGTTTTCGGGTTGTCTTGGAATGTGAATTTATGCTTGGGGGGATCCCCCAACCCCCAGGAAAATTGCACCTCCAGATCTTACCCTTCATCTCTAAAATTAACTATCACCCTTCCCTTACACTTTACACAATCACTACACGGTAAGAATAGTGTTCTCACGTTTCAAAGTTCAAGAAATAGTTGCTATCTGTTAGGTGGTGTTTATATCCTGGGGTGCACTAAACAGCTTTCCACACCTGATTGTTAGTAATACCAATGTCACCACTCCAAAAGGCAAACTAAAAACACATTCAGAGGGGCACCTGGGTGGCTCAGGCCATGATCTCAGGGTTCTGGGATCAAGCCCCGCATCGGGCTATCTGCTCAGCGGGGAGCCTGCTTCCCCCTCTTTCTCTGCCTGCCTCTCTGCCTACTTGCCATTTCTCTCTCTCTCTCTCTGTGTGTGTCAAATAAATAAATAAATAAATAAAATCTTTAAAAAATAAAAATAAAAGCATATTCAGAGCACAGGGAAAACAAGAGAGTCCCTCCCCCCTTTCTGGTATAAAATTTGATATTTCAAAACTATCTCCTAGAGCTTTTACTCTGGTTCTATTTAATTCTTCCATTTAACAAGATTCTCAGTGACAATCCAACAATATTTTAAGCACAATTTCAATGTCTTGTTGTTAACTGTTAAGTATGACTTGACTGATTAAATAAAAGTCACAAAAATGGATATAAAACAACTAAGTGGAAACCCAATCCAGTCACTTTCTATACAAATATAGGCGAAAAGGCCTGTATTACCAATAATAAGTAAATTGATATATATTACATTAAGTCTGGGCAAAAGAAACCAAACACATGTGGAACAAAATTTATAAAGAATGATGTGCTAGAGGGAGGCCCAGCATACTTGTAGTGAATCAGGTGTAGATAGGCTACTACAACTAAGGATTTTGAACTTTTTACAGTTTATCAGATTCTTTTGAGAAGAAAGGAGAGGAGAGGAGAGGAGAAGAATCGAAAGGAGAAAGGAGGGAGAGAGGGGAAAGAAAAAAAAGAGAGATAAACTTTCAGTGTACACTCATTTATCTGGATTTGCACATTTGAGTTTCTAGTTTATCCCAGATTATTTGCAATTCAGGCTTTGTAGGGAGAATGTCTCAGAATCTTACCCCTCTCCTCCCACCTCCTCACCCCTAAGATTTGCATGCATTGTAATCACCCCAGGTGATTACAAGCCCATCTGGCTATAAAACCTGTACCCTGGCTAATATAGATATAGTAGAATCCACATACTAATTAGGCTGGGATAGCCAGAAACAGCATACACTAAACAAAGGGAAGAGAGTATATTTTAAATTATGACATCATCAAAACAATGAAATACCGAGAATATTTTATATTTGGATTTCCTTTTTAAAGTGTGGTTGAAGCCTTAGTGGAAGAGGAAGTTAACAAAATAAATAAAATGGAGTTATCAAAATATGTACATTTTTATCTTCTACAAATAACACTATACTGTATGACTTTCGAAATAAATGGAAAAGGTAAATATAAAACATCTAATAAATCCATTATTGTTTTTGAGGGTGGAAGAGAAAGAAGTAGGAAGACGGGACACTTTAAAAGTTCCTAAGATAGTAGTATTCTTGCAGGAAAAACCCTGATCTGGTCCTAGGCCTGCTTTGCCACATATCATCTCAGAGAAGTCATTCAACTGCTGTGAATCTCACTTTCTTCATCTAGAAGATAGAACGATAATACCTGTCTTTCTTATAGACACCTGCTGTGAATCACAGGAGATAATGTCAGTGAGAGCATAATCATTCCTCATTCCTTTCTGTAATTACTGGTTTCCAGTCTTGAGCACCACATGCAATGATTGGAAACTAGCCAGATAATAAAGAGGGATCAGAAAAAAAACAGAAATTAAACCCACCATCTGTAGTGCAAGACCCTTCCGGGGCAGGTTTTTGTGAATAGGGAATTGGTGGGCTATTTGAATCAGACATTTCTTCATCATCTTCATCATCTTCCATTTCATTAACTGTTAGATTGTTAGAAAAATCCAGGCTTCCATTTTGAGTGTAGCGGTGTACCAAATCTTTATCCAGATCCTCCACTTTGGGTTTCACATCTAGGTGAGCAAATAAATCACAGCTAAATTAATAAAAAGATGCTTATGGAAAAGTTATCAAAAGAAAAATTCATAATTCTGAAAGGTATCAGAGGACAAGAAAACAAGCAATGTCTAATATTTAATCAATGTAGTTCAGGGGTCCCCAGATTTGGAACTTCTGCTTCTTTTAAAAGGAGTCTAGAAATGTGCAGAATTGAGAAACGTACCTGCAGATGAAAAAGGATGCTGGTCAGGGTCCAAATACAGCTGGGAAAAAATTGGCCGTGGTACCACACTACTACATCTGAGAGACGCTTCTATGGAGTTATGGAGAGCTTCCTCAAATTGAGCAGATTTCAGTTGCCCAGCATATGAATTCCCCATGGTCTACACCACCCCCACAATGAGAAAGAGGAAGAAAAGGAAAAAATTGATATAATTAGAGGACATTATGTCTGCAAAGTACACGAAAGGCTGACATAAACTATACTATGTATCTTGTTAAGATTTAAACATGAACTTTATCTATATTTCTTAAGACAATTTGTATCAGGGATCCATTACACCACTTTTGCTTTTGGTCTTTATAATCCAAACCCATTTCAAAAAGACCCTTTAGAGGAGCTTGTGTCTGAGAATCAAACAGTAATAAATGCTTTAAGTTTCTCCAACCAGTAAATCAAGATTGACCTGTCAATTGTGAAGCCGTACATGATGACAATGGGGCTCACACTTCCTCCTTAAAACTAGTGGACTTCCATTACCCTATACCAACTATCAGTGCTTTTAGAGTAAATCTCTAATTACTTCTCTCTCTACTAAAATCTTCTTACCCTGGTACAGTGGGGGGGAGACACTTCTCTGGGGGAAAAAAATTAAAGCTTTATGATAATATACTTAATTGACAAATTCCTGAAAGAAAGATTTAAACCTTTAAACCCAGAGAACTCATTCATGTATATTAGTGTTTATTTTTAAAAAGTGTTATCTCATTTGGGACCCTTTAGGAAAGTATAATGTAGGAAGTTTTAAAGTCATGGCCCTTAATTCTCATAACGAATATTTATACCATTCTTGCTAGTTACAAAAATCTCCATGTATATCAATAATAACTACAATTCATGAAGTGCTAACTATTGGCTACACCAGCAATTCTCAAAGTGGTGGTCTGAGGTCACCAAGACCCTTTCTGGGGTCCATGAAGTCAAAACTCTTTTCAAGTTTTTTACGGGGATAGTATTTGCCTTTTTTACTCTCAGCCTCTCATACGTGTACAGCAGAATTTTCCAGAGGCTGCATGATGTGTGATACTCCAAGAGGTTGAATGTGGAAGCAGACAGACCAAGCTTCTTGCTTTTTTGGAAAATACAGTTCTTTTTCACAAAAATGTGTTTTTTTATGTTGACATGTAATGGGTTTATTGTTTTAATTTTTGAAGTTAATATATGTTTTAAATATTTCTTAGTCTTGGGGCACCTGGGTGGCTCAGTTGGTTAAGTGTCTGCCTTCAGCTCAGGTCATGATCTCTAGGTCTCCAGGTCCTGGGATTGAGCCCTGCATCTGGCTCCCACCTCAGCAGGGAGTCTGCCTCTCACTCTTTCTCCTTCCCTCTGCCCCTCTCCACCACTTGTTCTCTCTCTCTTTCTCTCTCAGATAAATAAATAAAATCTTTAAAAACATTTTTGTCTTAATTTCTAATAAATATAATCCACATAAGCAAAACTCAATTTTTAAGAGTATAAGGGGATTTTAAGATTAACAGTTTGAGAGACATTGAGATGGACAGTACTCTGAACAGTCATAAAAGTTATTTTATTTAATCCTTAGTATTCTGAAGTAGGTAGGGCCTCTTCTCATTTCATAGATGAAGAACTAAGACTTAGAGATGCCAAGTAATTTGTCTGCTATCACCCAGCTGATAAAGGTCAGAACCAGAACTCAATATCTAGCTGTGTGATGATATATCCTGCACTTTTAGAGTATAAGCTCAACTCGAATGAATCTCATTTCAAGAAAGGCAATTTGAGGGGCACCTGGCTGGCTCAGTTGTAAGAGTGTGTAACTCTTGATCTCAGGGTTGTGAGTTTAAGTCCCATGTTGGGTGTAGAGATTACTTACATAAATGAAACTTCAAATTTTTTTAAAAAGAAAAGAAAGGCAATTTGAGAGTATCTTAGTCCCACTTATCCCATCAAGGAGAGGGACAGGTATTAAATTTCATCTGGAAGTCCAACTTTGATTGACTCTCTGGAGCGAGCCCCTAGAGGACTGATTAAGAAGGACCTTGAGGGCATCTGGGTGGCTTAGCCTTCAGCTCAGATCATGATCCTAGGGTCCTGGGATGGAGCCTGCCTCAGGCTCCCTGCTCAGCGGGACACCTCCTTCTTCCTCTCCCACTCCCCCTGTTTGTGCTCCCTCTCTCACTGTCTCTCCCTCTGTCAAATAAATAAATAAATTTTTTTTTTTTTTTTTTTTTTTTTAAAAGAAGGGCCTTGAGCATGTACCTGGGCTCAGCAGGAAAAGGAAGCCAAGATCCAGTAGTGATGACTCAGCAGAGAATGGGTGATGCACAGCACAAACTTAGAGTCAGGTTTCTCAGACGTATATGCATGAGCTCCATAGGAGATTTTGGGGGCTCTGATCTGCCTCTGTATAGCAAAAAAGGCCATTTACATGATTCCTTGTAGCAGTGAGTAGTATTCAGAGATTTCCATCAGAGTAGCTGAGTTTATCAAAACTTGTTAGAGATACTTAGGATTTGGAAGAAAAGCTGGAATTGTATTTTGTAAGTAATTTTTTTAAAGATTTTATTTATTTATTTGACAGAGAGAGAGATCACAAGTAGGCAGGGAGGCAGGCAGAGAGAGGGGGAAGCAGGCTCCCCGCCGAGCAGAGAGCCTAATGCGGGGCTCAATCCCAGGACCCTGGGATCATGACCTGAGCCAAAGGCAGAGGCTTCAACCCACTGAGCCACCCAGGAGCCCCTGGAATTGTATTTTGGCAAACCTTTCTCAAAATAGGTAATAATAAACTAAATGCCATGTATTTAAATTAGTAGGTTCCTTTTTATAAGGAAAAGAAATTTTGTAATTATATGAGGTGATGGTTAACTGAACTTATTATAGTAACCATTTTGTAGCATATACCCCTATCGAATCATTATATGGTACACCTAAGACTATACAATGTTATATGTCCATTGTATCTCTATTAAACTAAAAGAAATACATTACTAGGTTTCTTTCAATTACAAGTTTTCTTTCTTATAAAAAGTACATACCCAAAAGTATATGTATGATACTTAAAATTGTAAGTGGAAGAAGAATCAATAAGGTCTGTCAAATAAAGTTCTCCTAAAATACTAAGTTCTTGTCCAAGCTTCTAAGACTGCCCATTAGTACAAACATAAACAATTTAAATTTTCTAAAGCTCTAAAACAATTAATTTTTCAGTAGAGCCACACAGGACCAAAACAGGGTGGAGTTGCAGGAGAAACAGGCTGTGTCACCACTTTATATGTGTAAGTCAAAATTTCAAGACCTATTTCACCTTTCTTCTTCGCAGAAGGGAGAACACTACCAGCACAGTCAACCATGGGATTTCTTAACCGTGGAGAACAATGGAATAACGTCAAAGATGGACCTTTAGTCTTTCTCCAGAACACCAAATGCCTGGAAATCTTGCCTCTTCTTAACTATTACCTGCTTAACGAGTTATCTTCCTTTCGTCATTGAAAACCTTGAGAACTATATTCTCTAAGAGATCTTTTTAGTTTAATAAAGAAGTGCCCAGTTGTGTATGGAGAACTACGTCATCTCATCTCTTAGATTTCTAGCCTAAGGAGCAATATAACAAATATGTATGTGCAGGGCAAATAAATATTGTGCTGAATAAAAATACTAAATCAACATAAAAATGGGTGATCAAGTTTCACCACATAGAAGATATTCATAATCTGACAAGAGCATTAGCAATATTCAGAGGGAGACAAAGGGAAGTACCCATGAAACGGTTTGAAGAATAAAAGGAGGTGACTAATCATTCTAAATGAAAACACAACTGGGTATTTTTTTAAAAATGATAATGATAATGTGAAGAATTATAAAACTGACCCTAGACTTCTTCTTTTTTTTAAAAGAAGATTTATTTATTTATTTGGCAGACAGAGATCACAAGTAGGCAGAGAGGCAAGCACAGAGAGAGAAGGGGAAGCAGGCTCCCTGCTGAGCAGAGAGCCCAGGATGGGGCTCAATCCCAGGACCCTGAGATTATGACCTGAGCCGAAGGCAGAGGCTTTAACCCACTGAGCAACCCAGGTGCCCCAAAACTGACCCTGGACTTCTTTAGTGCTGAGTATGGAGTTCTTCCCTTTACTAGTTCAAGTTCAATGCTACCCAATTTCCAGTTCAATGCTACCAAAAGAAAGGTGAAGTTCAAGGAAGAAGCCTTTTTGGTGTATTCTTAATATCATATGCTATAATATTTCACTTATTTAAGATTTTATTTATTTATTTGATAGAGAGAAACACAGTGAGAGAGGGAACACAAGCTAGAGGAGTGGGAGAGGGAGAAGCAGGTTTCCTGCTGAGCAGGGAGCCCCATGTAGGGCTCAATCCCAGGACTCTGAGATCATGACCTGAGCCAAAGGCAGACACTTAATGAATGAGCCACCTAGTCACCCCTAGGGTTACTGAAATTGTTGGCATTATCCACCTAGACTACCAGCCTTCCTTTCCTATGAATCTCAAAGATCTCCCAGTGCCTGAGATGACATTGTTATGTCATCTGAAAATGTTATGCCACTGAAAATCACTGTGAATAAATTCAGCTTCAGGTCAGAAAACAGAGAACTACTTTTCAGAATTTTCAGAATCAGTTGTTGAATCAAACACAATAAGAAAGCAAAGTTGCAATTTCTACATATACATTCATAACTTATGTATCTGGCTTACATTAAGGACTACAGACCTCTGAGATGCTAATAGACACTCTTGTGACATTAAAGAAATCTCTAAGAAAGACATGGTATACAATATGGGCTCCTTTTGCCCCACTAATACTTTTTTTTTTTTTTAAAGATTTTTATTTATTTATTTGACACAGAGAGAGCGAGAGAGAGAGCAAAAGCAGAGGGAACGACAGGCAGGAGAAAAACAGTTTCCCAGTGAGAAAGGAGCTCGATGCAGAGCTGGATCCTAGGACCAGGGATCATGACCTGAGCCAAAGGCAGCCACTTAACTGACTGAGCCACCCAGGCACCTCTTTTTTTTTTTCCTTAAAGATTTTATTTATTTATTTGAGAGAGAGCTAGAGAGCACACAGAGAGAAAGGGAGAATCAGGGTCCCTGCTGAGCAGGGAGCCCGATGTGAGGCTCCATTCCAGGACC